GCGGTGCCTGGAAAGCTTGAGAAACTAGGGAGCTGACCCTCAACTAGGTGCTTGCACCTCTGGGATTTAAACGCCTCCTCCACCCTGCTCTTTGCCAAACCTTCCCCTCAGCACAGTCTACTAGACCCCCAAAGACCTTGTGTGGAGGCTGGTGCATCTGTGTGGCGGGGGGGATGGGCGCGAAGACGGAGGAACGAGCCAGGGTCCATATCTGCTAGTGCAACAAGAAGCATCTACACTGGGCAGCCAATTCATCCAAAAACAAGGAAACAAGAGTTTAGAGCCCCTCAGGGATTAGCAGAAACCCTGAGCAGGCTTTACACTTCCTCAAGTCTTCCTGTGGGATGAGACCTTGGGCCAGACGTCTCACTCTCAAGAGGGCAGCCAGAGCCCAGCGGACATGCGAGCTGCCCATGGCTTACATTTCACAGGAAGGCGAGATACGCAGCCTGGCTGCCCCTTCTTCCCTGGGCACAAACGTCCAGAACAGAACCAGCACAGAGGCTCCCCCATCCCTGAGCCCCTCAGACACTGAGAACAGGGGTGTGGGGTTTGAAGCCAGGTAAACCCTAGAGCCAGGGAAGGACAGCTTATCAGAAGTGTCCCTTTCAGAAGTGGCAGAAGGAAGGTAGAAATGACACAGCCCTCAGTGCGTGTCCCTTTTCATTCTTTCCGGGTGGCCTTGTATGCTCAGGGGATGCTCATCCTGGCCTCTGCCACTTGCCTGGCTCTAGGTCTGAGATGACAGGACAGGAGGAATCCTGCCTGGGAAGCACTGATACATGGGTGATGACAAGTTAGGGTTTACGAAGAGATCATAAGTCCAAGGGGCTCCAAAAAATGTGAGGATTCTTCAAACAGCACAGTAAAGACGAGTTTACTAGGTTAAGCAGATAACGGTGCAGAGGCACTGGGTGAAGCGGGAGGGAGCCTTGGAGCCCCGCCTTCTCTCCCCAGCCCCCCATGGCGGAGTCGAGGCACTTGTAGAATCACCATGGAACAGAGTTTAAAAGCCACGATTTGATCCATTTCCATTCTGTGGATGAGACACTGCCAGCCAGTGAGATGTGACACAGCCATGCCTCGGCCGGAGTCATGCGGCTGGTCACCGGCAGAGCTGGGACTGGAACTCAGAGGTCCTGCCTCTAAGCATGGGTTCACCTGCCACCAACGGCCACAGCTGCTCTCAAAAGAAACGGCTTTATATTTCCAAGTCTTGGACATAAGGAAGTTGAATTGCCTGAAAGGGTTCTGGCCCCCATTTTCAAACAGGCCATCAACAGCCTCTAATGCCAGCTCCTCGGGAGTGCGGGGAGAGGAAGTGTGTCTTGCTTGCACAACCAACTCATTTAACTTTGGTGCAGGCGAATCATCACAGGACCGCAGTGAAGCCTGAAATAATGGGTGTTAATTTCATCTTACAGCTGTGCTGCGATCCGGAGAGTGTACCCATCTCCTTAAGCTAAGGACTCCGTGTAACCTCGATGCCACCACCTCAGAAGGGGCAGGGTGCGATGGACAGAGGGATCTGGGGAGATCCCTCAGCTGCCACCTAGCCACTGCCTACCACCAAATGCTGTCCTTCTAAAAGAAGTTTGGAGAACACAAGTTGATTATAAAAAGAGGGGCCTGCAGACACGCTCCAGCTGGGACAGAACAAGCAGAAATGCTGCAGCTGTGCTGGGGGGACTCCTCCCAGTCAGCTGTGAGAAACGCTACATGAGCCAGAAAGTGAGACCAAATCCCAGTGTCACTAGCGTGAGGCAGAGCCTAGCTCTTCCCCTCAGACCTTTGGGACAGCTCAGTACCGCAGTGTCACCTTTAGGAAGCGGTGCTCAGAGCCAAAGATGAAACTCCCGGACCCAAATCTCTGTGTGAAGAAAGTCTCCCCAAGTCTTTTTGGTATGATGACCACTAACTGCACAGATCACCTTTCCACACCTGTGCAGGTTGTGGCCTGAGATTTGGGAAATTAGGCCACTGTCTCCATGGTTTCCCTGGCACTTAGTGGACACGGTGAGTCTCAGCTCCCTGTGGCAGGACCCACCGATGTTCCACAAGAGTGAGCTGCTGCTGGGCTAGGCTCAGGGCCCACTGGTCACCTTACACCTGGGGGGCTGGGGGAGGAGGGACGGGAGTGTAGACCCTCCTGCTGCAGGAAGGAATGGGCCAGGCCCGCCTCATCAGGGGCTCCAGCCTTGGGAGGTGTTGGGAGGGATTTGGGAGAGGGACTGGAATGCCGCGGAAAGTATGAGAAGCCCTGAGAGAGCTGGCCTGTCTGCTGGACCAGCCCTACCATGGGGCTGACACCAGCCAAGGCAGAGATGCTCTACTCCCTTCCTCCTTGTCTCTGAGCACCCGCATCTCCACTGCTCACAGGTTAGGGGGAGGACAGAGTCATCCACCTTGCCCTCTAGACACCTCTTCCAGATCCTCTTATCTCTGCTAAGGAATGTTTTTGATTCCTTTCTCTTTTTGTTGTTCATGGGAAAAAAGCTGACCCTTCAGCTCAAAGGCACCTTCCCACCCCGGGAAGGGCAGGACTGCTGGGGCACCAGGAGCTGGAGGCACAGCCCTGAAACACACCCTGAGTGGAAGAGGTTTTACAGAACCCAGCTGGCCACAGCGGCCCCCAGCCTGCCCGTCCGTTATTTATGTGGCTCGGGAGCCTTTCCAGGGCCCCTCCTCTTAGCTGTCCCCCTCCCAGGGCATCGATCGCCCTAATGGCAAGGCTCTGCAGTGGCGGGCCTGAGCTGCCCCTTCCCAGGCCTTCCTGTGGCTGCTAATTAGCTGGAGTCCACAGACTCCACTTCACAAATGGGGAACTGGGACCCAGGGGCCCCTGCTGGGCATTGAAAGGGAGCTAAGCTTAGCATCATGCCTCCCCCATCCCAGACCCTCTCTGGCTAACTGTTGCTGATCCAAGGCTAAATTGTGTGTGTGTGTGTGTGTGTGTGTGTGTGTGTGTGTGTGTGTGTGTTTGTGTGCCTGGTGTGTTCCCAGAACTGTGAACATGGACAGAGGCCTAGAGTGGGCAGGGGGAGTCTTTTCACAGTGGCAACTCCAGAATTCCCAAAGGAAGGGAAGAGAAGTGACAGTCTCCTTGGAAGGGGGCTGGAGGGCTTGACTTTGCAGGGCACGTACGCTGTTCTGACTTGGATTGGACGGTTTCTGAGTGGCTGTAGGGGTTACTGGTGGAGATTCTTGGGGTGGGGGCACTACAGCTCTCCAAGGCCCCCTTGGCTCCATCACTGTGCTTTGAGCTGGAGCTTTTGTCCCCAACACCTCCCAGCCCTGGCATCAACTGTAGCTGCAGGGGCCAGGTCCCCACACCTGTGGGTGAGGGGGGCTAGGGGACAGAACCTGAGGGTTGCAGACCCCTAGCATTTACTAGGGATGCAATCAGGTGAAAATGCCTGGAAAGAGACATCTTGGATGTCCGGAGGTAATACCAAGGACAGCAGCCAGACCCAGTGGAGGAGTGTGGGCTGCCTGGAGTAGCGGAGGTAAAAGTGGTGATGGGGCACTCGGCTAATGGTTCTTAAAGTTATAGGCAGCCTTCCCACCACCACTCGGGCGCCCTGGTAGAGACAAGCTTGCTCCTGGCGCTCGGGAACTGCAGCTCAGACAGCACAGCCCTGGAAACCCCTCACAAGATGCTCTCCACGCTGCCCCAGGCCTCCATTCAGGGGATCAGAGATCAGCTGAACTTCGGAGGAACTCAAGGAGCCTACATCCCATTAAACCCTAGAGTGAAATCCAGCAGAACTAACAAAAGTATGCGAAACCAGGTACGTAAAATGTGAAACACCATCTACAGCTCCGTTTGTTCTGTGGTCTTGCAGACATACTAAATTATTCATCAAAACAGAACATCGGAACCAACCACTACCATGTCTCCGTGAACTGTGTTCCTGGGAACGTATGAAGCCCCCACTGCTCAGGGGCAGACTCATAGTGTGGGTTGGGAAGGGGCATCTAGACACAATCCTAGTTTCCTGGGCAGGATCATGCCTCCAGGGAGGGGCCGATCAGGGTCTGAGTTCACTAGGCCATTCCATAGCAAACCTCAGAACTGAGATGGGCTTGAAGGTGAAAGCTGTCCAGAAGGTGTCCCATTGCTCCTGAAACCAGCATTGGGAGCTTCCTGCAAATTCAGGGCTGTGAACTCCCCCTTCCTCCAATACCTTCCAGGCTCATTTATGAGTGGAAAGTAGCTGCTGATGTCTGGGGAGTGTGGCCTCTGAGTTGGGACCAGGAAGCTGATGCTGAAAGACCCAGGCTGCTCTGACCTTCCCAACCACTCCTTCCAAGGGATCCATCCTTCTAACAGGACCAGTCCATCCTTTCCCCCACTTTCCTCAGTCTCTGCCCCATCTCCCTTGAAATATATGCATTTCAAGGGACAGTTGGAGGGGCTCCTGGCATCACTCCTCCAGGGGTGGGCACAGAGCCTTCTAGGCCCTTCTCCTGGCCGGTGCCTTTCAGAAGCTCTCTCAGTGTATGTACCAGTTGGGGGTAGGCAGAAGTGGGGGTGGGATGTAGGACACCCATGTCCCACCTTAAGCGCACTTCTAGAAGCCTGGAGCAGGGGAGTTGTGAAGATGACGGAACCGCAGCGGGGCTCCCAGGAGGCTTATCTTTGGCTGGAGACAGGGCTTCCTCCTCCGCAGCAGAGTATGGCCCAATCTGACCCAGCTGGGCTCCGACCACGGCCACGATCTCTTCAGCCCACACCCACTCTCCCCAACCCGACTTAAATCCGTTCCGCAGAGAACTCAGCGGTCCCACCCCAGCTCGACCAGCCTCGGGCAGAGATGACCCAGCCCAGGCTAGGATCCACATCTTCCAGGAGGAGCCAGCGTAGAGAGTGAAATGGGGCGAGGCCAAGGTCACAAAGGAAGGCAGAGGTAGGACGGTAATGAAGGGTTTGGTAGGGGGTCCTTCGGCCCTGGCTCCCTCCCCCGGCGGTCCTCACCGGGCGCGGCAGGGGCACTCACCGTCGGGACCACTTGGCCGACGGCCTCCCGAAGGGCCGCTTCCACAGCACACCATAGAGCTGCACTTTGGTGCTGATGTCCAGCGCGTCCGAGTCAGCCTGCTCCAGAGACGGCGAGGGCGACACCGAGTTGGACTTGGACGTGAACATCCTGCTTCAGCGGGGCTGCCCCAGCCGGGCCCACCCGCTCCCCGGGGCCGGCACGGATGCGGGGCTCCGGGCGAGGGCGGGCGCGGCGGGAGGCTGCGGGGCGGCGGCGGCGGGCGCCTCCGGGCGCCGTCGGGGCGCGTCGCAGCAGGCGGAGACGCGGGGCGGCCCCGACCGAGAGCTGCTGCGTTAAAGCGCGCGGAGCCCGGAGCGCCGCAGCAACTGGCGAGAGGCGCGCAGCCTGCGGCTAGGGCTCGGGGCTGCGCCGGGCCAGGCGGGAACTCGGCGGGGAGGGAGGCTCAGCCTCCAGCCAGCAGCATCGCCCACCCCCCTCCCTGAGACAGCCCCAATTCTGGTGGCCCCGATTGGCTGGGAGGGGCAGGTGAGCTGGCTGGAGGCCGGCCGCGAGCGCCAATCAGTGCGGGCGCCGGCGGTAGGGCCGGGCTCCGTGCGTCCGGAAGGTCCCGGCGGGTCGCGCGGCCCTGAGACTAGGCCCCAGCACTTCCCCACCCCCGCCCTGCGTACCCATTTTAACCCCTGGGTTCCCTCCCGGTTGCAGCTGCCACATCGAAACCGGGAACACGTCTGCTTTGTGACGGGCTTGGAGTCACTGCTGCAGATCCCTACTCGCTCTGGGTGGGGGAGAGCAGATGATCGGGCTTGGAATCCCACCTCAGTCCTTACATGACTCCGTGAAGCTGCGGTGAGCCTCAGTTTTCTCTCCTGTAGAGCGGAGACGCCTGTACCTTCTCGGGCAGGGCGGGGGCCAGGTAAGACTTCAGCCAGTGCCCGAGCGCCCGCCCCGAGAGGAGGCTCCATCGGGGCTGGCAGCCCCTCCCCTCCTGCTCTGCTGGGTCTCACTTTGTACCACCGCTGCCGCGCCCGGATCGGATTTCTTTTCCCAGAACTTGGCTGCCTGCGTCGGCATTTGGCACTCAGTGCCAATCCCGAACGGTCAGTGCAGCTACTGTCCGTGATTTATCTGCACGCCTGGCCCGTGCTCCCTGGGGCCTGGCGCTCCATCCACTTCCGCTCCTCTCGGCGCCTCTAGATGACCGGCACACTTTCCGGCGGGTGCAGACGTCTGTCCTGCCCCTGGGGACCGCCCGCGGAGAGGCTCTGCTAGCATCGCTGCGTGCAGGCACCGCTCCAAAGGCAGGGAAGTGAGTGTGCTCGGAGAGGCAGCCGGCTGGACCACGCTGCAGTCATCCTACTCTTGGCCGCGGCGTTGCAGGCCATCTCTGGACAGTCAGGATTCTTCCGCGCACTTGGGAAAACCACTTACCCCCTCAGGGGCTCTGATGCCTCAGCTGTAAAATAAAGACGTCAGATTGGAGCAGACGTTTGCAAATAGGTAGCCTGAGTGCCAAATCACTTTATAGATAGACGTTATTAATTTGCCCAAGCAAAAGTAAAAACGAGGTATAATTAAAATATGACAAAACGCACAGATCTCAGGTATTTCTTTGATGAAGTCAATTTGATGAACGTATACACCAAGTCACCAGCACCCAAAGCAAGATGCAGAACATTTCCATCGCCCCAGAAAGTTCCCTTATGCTCCTGCTGGCCAACTTCCCATCCTCACTCCGACCCAGGCAAACCACTTTCAGACTCTTATCAACATTGGCCCGCCTTTTTTAAAGTTTTTAAAATTTTAATGTCTAAAATGGCATTCTCTACAGAGCAACCATCCCCTGGAGTCCTTTGCTAAGCCTGCTTCGCTCATTATTACCTGCCTGGCTTCTTTTAGGCATTTGAATTTGTGATCCTCATTAGATGCTCCTCCAAGGCCTTCCCAGGCCTAACACGTTACGAGTCTAGTTAAGAAGGGGCTTAATAAAGGGCTTCCACATCCTGGCACCCTTCCCCTAACCAAGTCTTGGGTTCCCAAGCCCAGACAACATCCTCTTGTTTCTCACTGTCCAAAGGGGCCCATCTGAATTCCCTTGTGCCCCTCGTGGCTCACGTTTCCCTGCAGAACATCTCAGGCACAGCTTTAACACAGGGTCCAGGGCCTGGGTCCACCAGGTGGGAAGAGACAGGACTAGGAAGATGATGAGAGCCCATGGAGAGCATACAAAGTGGACATTTCACACTTTGGGAGGTTATTTTTGACACATGTTTTCATGCTTGGAAAACTTCCCATTTTAGGAGTTTTGTTTTTTTCCAGATGGAAGCTAGAAAACTTGGGTCACAAGCTTGTGGCGTGGAGTTCACTGGTTGGGGCACCAGGACAGGACTAAGTTGCAGGTGACAAACATGAGGAAAGAGAATGCACCGCCACCAGTTTCTCAAGGGTAAGTACCAGAGGCATCTGACTTGCTTTGGGGGTCAGCTGTGGCGGTAAGGTTGCGTGCCCAACGCAGCCAGCAGCATTTGACTGGCCGCACGGTCACAGGCAGGTGGGCTCCAGGCAGCACACACATGGCAGCATCAACAGCCTCCCCATCAGGCTGCTTCTGCCACATGGTTCTGGATAGCATTCCTGGAAGCTTCACCCCAGGTCAGCCCCTGGTTCTTTAGCCCTGCCAATGTCCTTTTAATAAATTAATTCCTCTTCTGCTTAATCAGGTCAGTACCAGTTTTAGCTGCTTGTGATGAAGGACTGGGGATGAGCCATAGGTGGGAGAAAGGCAGGATGCCTGGAATCATTTTTAAGGGAGTCCTTCCCAAGGAGAAGGGCTGGGTGAGCCCAGATGGTTCCTGGGGAAGAACCATCTTCATTCTGTTTCTTCTGTGGAAGAAATAGAGCACAAGTTCCTTCAGCAGCAAAGAGAAAGCAATCTTTGTCCATTCCCTCTGCAGACAGGACATCTGAAGAGACCTTAGCTACTGGTAGTTAAGGAGAGGTGGAAAGACTGCCCTGAGACAAACAGCATGAGTTTGATGGTCCACTAGGTACTTAAGTGGCTTCTGCTTCCCTCAACTAACCAGTCCAGATCATGCTAAGTCAGCCTTGGGAGATGCCGTTTCTGCTTCCATTCTCTGCTCCAGCCGGTGGGAGTGCTGAATGCCCGGCAGATACTTCTGCAGAAGACAAAACAAGCTGGGTGCCAATCCACTGCCCCAGCCCAAGTGTGGGCCAGGGCTGCCCAATCTTATCGGGAAGTAAGTTGGGGTGGAAACTCAGGGACCTAGCGCTCTGCAGGCTCAAATACAGAGATGATGTTCTGAATATATGATTTACATCTTATCTATTTCATTTCATTTTTGAACAGCCCCGATGAGGTGTGTGTTACTTTTAGTTTTCCAGATGAAATTCAAAAAAGTTGTCTAGGGCTTCCCTGGTGGCTCAGTGGTTGAGAATCCGCCTGCCCATGCAGGGGACACAGGTTCGTGCCCCGGTCCGGGAAGATCCCACATGCCGCGGAGCGGCTGGGCCCGTGAGCCATGGCCGCTGAGCCTGAGCGTCCGGAGCCTGTGCTCCGCAAGGGGAGGGGCCGCAGCAGTGAGAGGCCCGCGTACCGAAAAAAAAAAAAAAAATTAAAAAATTAAAAAGTTGTCTACCTAAGGTCACCCAGCTAGTCATTTCCTGGAACATGATAGACCCTCAGATACGTGTTGAATGAGGGAAAGGCAGGATGGAGATACTTGATTTGGTCTGAATCCTAAGCCCATACCTGTCACACCACAGCACACTGCCGAGTGAGGTGCAGTCTGGGAAAGTGCTGGACCTTTCAGTCTCTCCCCTTTTTTCTAGTAATTTCTCTCAATTGCCAACTGACCTAAGGCTCCAAGTTCCCGCAGAGTTGAAGAGAAAACTCCTCTTACACTGTAAAATTCCAGCCTCTCAGCTGTGTTCAGGGATAGACTCCTAATAATGAACACACATTTTCTGATAGTTTTTATTTTCTCACCAGCTTTCCTGAGATATGATTGACAAATAAAAATTTTATATATTTAGTATACAATATGATTTTTTAAAGCTGTACAATATGATAGTTTAATATACATATGCATTGGGAAATGCTTACCACAATCAAGTTAGTTAATACATCCATCACCTCACAGAGTTACTGTTTTTGTGTGTGTGTGGTGAGAACATTTAAGATCTACTCTGTTGGAAACAGACTCACAGACATAGAGAACAGACTTATGGTTGCCAAGGGGGCAGGGGGATGAGAGAGGGATGGAATGGGAGTTTGGGATTAGCAGATTCAAACTATTATATGTAGGATGTGTAAACAACAAGGTCCTACTGTATAGCACAGGGAACTATATTCAATATCCTGTGATAAACCATAATGGAAAAGAATGTGTATATATGTATAACTGAATCACTTTGCTGTACAGCAGAAATTAACACAACATTGTAAATCAACTATACGTTAATGAAATAAATTTTTAAAGAAAGATCTACTCTGTTGGCAAATTTCAAGTATACAGTACAGTATTATTAAGTGTACATTATATCTCCGGGACTTATTCATCTTATAACTGAAAGTTTCTACCCTTTGACCAACATCTCCCCATTTCTCCCACCTTCCAGCCCCTGGCAACCACTGTTCTACTGTTTGGTTCTATGAATTTGACTTTTTTAGATTCCACAGATAAGTGAAATCATACGGTATTTGTCTTTCTGTGTCTGACTTATTTCACTTAGCATAGTGTCCTCCAGGTTCATCCACGTTGCTGCAAATGGCAGAATTTCCTTCTTTTTTATGGTAAAATAATATTCCAGTGTGTGTGTGTGTGTGTGTGTGTGTGTGTGTGTGTGTGTATGAAATGTTCTTTCTCCATTCAGCCATCAACATACACTTTCAGTTGTTTCCATATCTTGGCTATTGTAAATAATGCTACAATGAACATGGGAATGCAGATAGCTCTTTAATACACTGATTTCATTTCCTTTGGATATATATTCCAGAAGTGGAATTGCTGGATCATATGATAGTTCTATTTTCAATTTTTTGAGGAACCTCCATACTGTATTCCATAGTGACTGTACCAATTTACATGCCCACCTACAGTGTACAAGGGTTCCCTTTTCTCTACATCCT